ATATTTGTAAAGTAATGTACAATTGTATCGTTATAAAAATACATAAAAAAAATATTAATACCATAACGGCCTAAGTCATACTTATAATGCAAAAGTATAATTGAAATATTAAGTTTTGTTCTGATCTAACTAATCAAAAGAAGATTAATTAATTAAACGAAAAAAAAAATTAACCAATTTTTTTTTTTAAATGCATAAAAATCAAATGATTTTTAAAGTTCTTGATATATAATCTTTGATGCTTAACTTTGAATGTTGTGTATTTAGCCGGGCTAATTATTTGAACAAAGTTTATGTTAAATTTTATATTATATATTTTTAAAAATATATTTTAACATATTCGTATTATATGTTTAACAATTATGCCAATTTCTAATTGAGATGGGGTTTGAACCTAATACATTGCTTATAGAAATTAATGAGTAAGTTAAAAATAATAAATAGTTAACGGAATATTCCGTTACTAAAGTTTTTACTAACGGAATTTAGGTTATTTAAGGGAAGAAAATAATATAATACAGGGTAAATAAGAAAAATCATTAAAAAAATACTAAAATCAAAATAATATGAACCATTTATTTTAAAAAACAATAGACCATTCATTTTAAGAAACAATAGTACCAATATTTTTTTTTGTTCCAGTTAAGGGCCTACCATTATTCGTTCTTATTAGAATTGTAGATGTAGATGTAGATTTTAAACCATAAAAATTTAACATAGTTCTTACACTTAAATTTTATATCTTTTCTTCATAAAATAAAAAGACATTGAATAAATCTAACTAAAAAGGAATCGATTACACATTTCTAAAAACTCTTTAAAAAAAGAAGAAAATGGTTAAATAGGCACTTGAACATTACTCAAAAAGTAAATTAGGCACTTAAAATTTTCAAAGATTGGAATTAAGTCCTTAAACATGTTATTTTAGAGCAATCGTTATGGTGTGCATCTGTGTGCACCATGCATGGTGCACAAAGATGCAAAAACGACATCATTTTGACTAAAAATGCGCGTCCCACTTTAAAAAAAAAATCAATTTCGATTCCCCTCAACAGCATTATGTTGTTCATTCATTCTGGAGTTTTAGTTCATTGATTCTGGATTTTTAGTTCATTGATTCTGGATATTTAGACGAAAATCGAAACTGATTTTTTTTTTTTGGAAAATGGCACTTTTCCCCCATGAGTTATATACTTATAGCATTTTTCCCACCTGAATTATTGAAGTGGCTATTTTCCCCCCTGAAATGTTAAATGGACATATTTACCCTTAAAATAAATATTTCATTTTTTTTTCCCAACAAATTATGACCATAATTTGGTTCAAACCAAACAAACACTATAGCAACCAAACCGAAATATTTCAATTACAATTTAGAATCGAAACCCGATATTTAGAGTTTATTAAAATCGTGAACCGGAACGGACGGTTCATGTTCCGAACTGAAAAAAATAAAATACGTTTATTGTTGAATTTAGACTATTTTAAAATAAAAACTAAAATTTTAAAATAAAGACAGTTCAAAATCGCGAACCGGATCCGAAACCGCCGGTTTACGGTTCAAGATTCAAATTTTTTATACATAATTTTAATAAATTGACATCTAAATATTGGGTTCTAGATATGAATCATAACCGGAAACTTTTAATTCGATTGTTTTAGTGTCCGGTTCAGTTCAAACCGAACCGTGGTCATCCCTACGTATACGCAATAATTTGTTGGAGAAGTAAAATAAATAAAATGTTTACTTTAAGGATAGAAATGTCAATTTAATATTTCAGGGGGAAAAAAGCACCACTCTTAGAATAATTGAGGGGGCTAATGTGCTTACCTAAATAATTAAGGGGGAAAAAGTGCTATAAGTATATAACTCAGGGGGAAAAAGTGCCTTTTTTTTTTTTTCATGCTGGATATTTAGTTCATTCATTATGGATTTTTAGTTCATTCATTATGGATTTTTAGTTCATTGATTATGGATATATAGTTCAAATTATGCACAACATAATGCTGTTGCCAGAAATCGAAACTTTTTTTTTTTTTTTAAATTTTAAAGTGGACACGCGTTTTTAATCAAAACAACGTCGTTTTTGCATCTATGGTGCACACAGATGCACATTATAATTTGCCATTTTAGAGCATTGAGGCCCAAAAACCGATTGGTGACATATAATTACAAGTCAATAGGGTTCCAACGAACCTCCGACGAGATTCCGATTATATTCCGGCAAAAAACACTATATTACCAATTTGGTCCCGAGTTAACGGATGTCTAACGGCAAAATAAACGGATGACCAAATTAGTTAACATTTTAAAAGTCAATGACTTAATTAGGCACAAAAAATTATCGAGGACCAAATTGATAATTTCGCAATAGTCGAGTAACTATTTTGATAATAAGCACTATATTTTTTTATAGCCATTATCCTATTTTATCGGATCATGTATTGTATTCTATTTACCCCATGTTGTATATGTATATTTGTGGTGATCTAATGAGAATGTGTTCTGGAGTTCTTGAAATAAACTTGGTCTTCTTCTCTCTTTTTCTCTCTGTATAATTATAACCATTACACAAGATTCACACGAGGATACATCCTAATTCCAAGAACTTGATCTTCTTCTCTCTTTTTCTCTCTGTATAATTATAACCATTACACAAGATTCACGCGAGGATACATCCTAATTCATAGCAATCACATCCTTTTAAATGTAGCAACTATTTATGAACAGATACTACAATGTAATAGAACCAGTAGCATTCAAAAAAAAAATGTAGCAACTATTCATATTTAAAAGAGTAAATACCTAAAATGGTCCCTCGACTATAGCTAAATTTATAAATTGGTCCTCGACTTTCAATTTCAACCAATTAAGTCCTTAACTTTGCAATTTTGACACGATTTGGTCCTCCATCTATTTGACCATTTGTTGACCGTGATCGACGATCTCCAGAAGAACCTTCAGCTCTCGTCGGAGCACGTGGAGGCCTCCAGGATGATGTTGCACCGGTTCGTAAACACGTCGTCTTCTTCGCTCTGGTACGAACTCAACTACATTGAATCCAAAGGGAGGATGAAGAAATGCGACCGAATTTGGTAGATTGCATTCGACAGTGGATTCAAATATAACAGTGCGGACGGGAAATGCAACCGGAACCTTAAAAACCCGACAATGGACCATGAAATTGCATATATATCATCAAAAATCACAGTCAACAAACGGTCAAATAGACAGACCAATTGTGTTAAAATTACAAAATTAAGGACTTAATTGATTGAAATTGAAAGTTGAGGACCAATTTGTGAATTTAGCTATAATCGATGGACCATTTTGGGTATTTACTCTATTTAAAATTGGACTCAAATAGTTTTTTTTTTTTAAAAAAAGGAGTAAAACTTGAGTCAAATAACCAATAATAGTCGAACTGGGCTAGTTTTGGGCTTCATTCTCTTCCAAGTTGCAATCCAGCAAACATAAAAATTATCCTCCTTTGAGTCCTTTCTTCCAGATTTCCCAAAACCCTAAACCAAAAAAAAAAAAAAAAAAAAAAAGACTCCAATTTCTGAGCCTTCATCTCTGCAGATTGCAACTTTTCGAAATCAAACTTTCTTCTAGAGAGACACAGAGAGGATGGTGTGGTTTCAGTGTGAGGACTGCGGAGACAATCTGAAGAAGCCGAAGCTGCCCGGTCACTTCAGGGTGTGCTCTGCATTCAAGGTCCCCCTCATTTTTCATTCGCAAGTTTTGTTATCAGCTAATTCAATTGATCAAATTGTAATTTTTTATGCTCGTTTTGATATGAATCTCATGGGTTTCGTGGTATCGTTGCTGTGCAGCTATCTTGCATTGATTGTGGGGAAGTATTTAGTCAGCAAACTGTGGAAAATCACACCCAGTGCATTTCTGAAGCGGTATTTTTCATGCTTATAGTGCTATTTCTGTATTACAGTGTTACTTCAATTATACTTTTTTTTTTTTTTTTTTTTTCTCTTGTCTGTGTTTCATGCTGTTAGTCTGTAAACTCTTGTTAATTGTTGATGGTGTTGGGCTAACATTTTGAAAAACAACAATTATTTAGTCTGCAAAAGTGCTGTTTGCAACTTTGCATAATCAGTTGGGAAGAGTGGTGATTTCTTGAGGATATGACCTTTGCAGTTTTGCTTGCTAAAGTTGGTTGAATTTCGTATTTAGTTGTTATTTATGTGCCTATGTTATCTGGAATGATTTGCTATTATATTTTGGCAGGAAAAGTATGGTCCTAAGGGCCAAGCGAAAACTCCAAATGGAAAAAATGCTAAACCCAACAATGAAACGAAACAGAAGCCTGATGTTGATATAAATGTCGGGTTGTCAGACCGCCCTCCATGGTTTTGCAGGTTTTTATCCATCTATGTATCACTCACCTGCTAGTTTCATGTTTTTACTTCTATAATTGAGGTCTTTATTTGTACTGATTTAAGTGATTATTTATTTTTCTGCAGTCTATGCAATACTAAGGCTACTAGTAAGCAAACCCTTCTTCTCCATGCTGATGGTAAGAAGCATAGAGCAAAGGCACGGGGTTTCCATGCAGCCAACCAGCAGCCTGGGAAGAATGAAGCAACTAATCCGGATGCAACACATTCAACAGATAACAATCCAAAAGAAGATGCCCCCGAGGCAAAAGCTAATGAAGAACCAAAGGAACTCAATCCATCTGAAGCAGAAAACGAAAAGTTACAATCAAACAAAAAAAGAAAGGTTGAAGCATCTGCAAATGGTGCTGTTGAACAAAGAGTTGGAGGTGAAACATTAGCTGATTTAGGTAATGGTGAAGTAATTCAGGTTGTAAGAGAAAATCATGTTAAGAGAGCCAAAACCATTCCAGGGGAAGAAGATACAGTGAGTGGCAAGAAGATTAAGTGGAAGAAACTGATCACCTCAGCTTTGAAATCTGTATGTCCTTCCTGTATCTTTTCTGCATTTGCACTCACATAATTCACATTTTTCTATCCATTTTTTTGGATGACGAGGGAAACCCCAAAACCCTTTCGGGTGTAGGTAAACCTCGCCTTGTGATCCTAGCTGGCAAAGGACCACAAGAAGTAAACCGGCTTAGATTACCCATAGCTGACCGGCTCAAACCAAGGGGGCAAGGATTCGAACTCGTGACCTTGTGGTTACAAGTGTAGGTAAATCCTGCCTTGTGACCCTAGCCGGCAAAGAACCATGAGTTGGCCTTGTTATATTTTTTCCCTAATGCCGAGCTTGCGGAGTGCGTCCGTAAGTATAGTTTTGGGGTCCCTTATGTCCGTGGTGACTGATTTGCTTTGTTCCCCGGGGTTCCACCCTTTGATTAAAAAAAAACTTAGATTACCCATAGCTGACTGGCTCAAACCAAGGGGGCAAGGTTTTGAACTCGTGACCTTGTGGTTACAACTTACAAGTGTGGATCTCTTGCCATCTTGGCTGGGGTTACCCCCCATTTTTGTATCCATTTAGTATTATTAATGGGTGATAGGCCAGCTGGTGGTTTGGTGCATCAATAGTATTCTATACATGTGGAATATAACATTATTTATATATTTATTCCCTCATACATGTGTGTCCTACATTTGAGGCAGAATCCAGATGGTACTCTGAAGTTTAAGAAACTTGAAAAGGCAGTTCTGAAGTCTTTAAGGGAATCAGGCTTCACAGATGATGAGAGCCAAGTCAAGGAAGTACTTGAGAGGAAAGTGAGTTAATTCTATTCTACTGTTGTTAAATTCATCTCATAAGGGAGGTTGATTTTGGGCTTGAAATAAGGATCACAATTGATTAATTTTGTCGTTCTATGCAGATAAATAAAAGTTCTAGATTTGCTGTTGAAGGCAAGCTTATTCGACTTGTAGCTAAGAGCTGAAGCTATGGCATTTGTTCCCATGTCAACGTGGAATGCATCACATTTCCCAGAGAATTCTCAGATGCTTAGACACATCTATCTATTGATCTCCAATTTTGTGAAACCCGACTATTTTCCAGTTTCCCCGTTGTATTTGTTCATCGGAAACTAGAGTGAGGGATTGTTATTAAAGAAACTAGATAGTCACTGCTACTGCCAAAAAAAGATGAGGAAGAGACTGATCAATTTTTTGAAGAAAGTTCATTTTTATCCGGGCTAATCATTTCTTCAAAATTAATTATTCTGCATTTTTTTTTTTAAAAGAATTTCATGAGTTTCTAACAACTCGGTGACTTGTTTAATGGGAATTTGATGTAGTCATTGAAGTGGTGTTTGGTTGGATATTTTTATACTTCATTTTCAGGCTTATTTAATTACCATGTCTATTTGTTTATTTTTGTTACTCTATTATTTGGTTTAAAGGTCATCCACCATATATTTAATGTAAAAGTACACTTGCCCGCACGTTCAATAAGCAGTATTTGAGAGAATATAAAAGCACACATGCCCGTATGTTCAATAAGTAGTATTTGAGAGAATGTAAAAACACACATGCCCGCATGTTCAATAAGCAGTATTTATGGACAAATTCCTTGTGTGCATCGGCATTTGGCTTTGAGTCATTTAGTTATCTTGATTTATATTCTCATATGCTCTATCAAGTTGAGGTGTGAAGGGCTCTTAGAGTGGGGAATACAACATCTTAAGAGAACAATGTAAACACACACATATATGAAAATTTTTACCATGTTGATCTACATGATAATTCTTTATACCAAGGAGCATAGTAGGACTCTAAAGTGAATGGTAAAGGGATGGCACAATGTCAAATTGTCAATTGGTACTGTAATTTTCATTTTTTGAATCAAAAAAGGAAAAAGAACTGTGGTTATTGGTTCACTTTTGTTTTAACCTACAATATTTATCTACTTAGTTATTTTAATGCAATCAGTACAAGAATTAAACCATCAAATGTTGCTTTCTTTGCTCTACTACTGAAACAGGTGTGAAACAAGAAGCATGGGTAACCCTATGATTATTCAATAAAACAGTGAAGCATTCTATATTTCAACTGAGAGCATATACACTTGGGAGATTCCGAAATTTCGCTTTGGGTTTTCTCTATAACTTTCAGGCACACAATTCAGCAACTCTTGAAAAAGTTCATCGAGCCTATGCAGCTGGTCGTATGGATAGTTACAGACTTACAGTAGAAGAATTACAATTACGATCAACAACACAACAGAACATGCCATTGCCTGTCACGTATCAGAAAAAAACAACATTAGCAAAGAATATACTTTGTGTTAATTTTATAGCGTTAGTCTAAAAAGAAACAAATTTGAAAAAACGAGTGTCAGTAAACAAGTTTTCTAAACAGAAAACAGGGAATGAAAACTAGAAAATTAGAAAACAAAAAACAGAGAACAGTTTCCTGAAGTAAACGGGCCCTAACAGTTAAAACAAACTTATAATGAATGGCGTTTAAGTTGGTCATAGAAAGAAAGGCAACAACGTCCTTTGTTTGGTCTGTACTTACAGCTATTGCAGAAGCAGCTAGTCCTGCGCGTTCTCTGGGGTCCTTCCGGTAGTAATTACCAAGATAGAGTATTGTGGCATAATACCACATAAATGGGCATATGATTCCCACAAGAAATCTAGGGAGAAGACATTAAATGTCAGATATTAAAGAAGGGGTTGAGAAAAACAAGTAACTAGGGATATAAAGTACTCACGAAAACCATCCAATCCCTAAACCAAAGCAAGGAAGAGGTTTATCATATAACCCTGCTTGACCATCTTCTACATCTCTTATCAGAGTATATTTGCCCTTGCTTCGGTCATCTGCATTTGTTGCTTGCCCTAAACTTGACAAAATATCCACTCAGTATGCAAAACTCAAAGCATATGAAGAAGACAAAGCTAATTTTGACAGAAAATTGAATCGGTAATACTGATCTTCATTTTTAACGCCTTCCATATTGTCTTTCTGATGGAAGTGTGACAGAAAGAGAATAATGTGGGAAGAAAGAGTTTTGATCAATCGTAGCAGCTAAAAGAAACAGATACCTTTAAACAACGAATAATACCGAGCTGATGGCCTCAAAAGATCTAAATGCTTGTCAGAAACTGATCTCACCAATTCAACGCCATCTTTACTATCTCCTTCCTCAAGAGTCGATTCTGTTTACACAAAATGTAGTCTGAATCTACTATCATAACAAAGTCTGTCCTTACCCCGTAAATATACTTACCAACTTTATAGAGCTAATGTTACAGAATAGCTAGGGATAGAGATTTTATAAAGGTTGTTTTAAAATCCCAGTTTTAACTCGAACTTATCTTTCACTTCACTATACACGACCAATCTTATCCAAGTAACATAACATTCATCTAGAGGACTCTTATCCCTAAGTTACATGTGTGTAGTCTGTCAAACACCATTGACCATTAACTTCTACACCTAACAAGTGATTTCTTTTCAAAAATTAGTCAGCCTATATTGATTCACTAACAATCACTGCTAGGAACTAAGGATGCTTCAAAATAGATATCCTTTTTGTCATCTCTATCAGAAAGGATCAAAATATGGGTAATAAATTTCATATGATTGCTACTAAATATTGAGTTTGTCTCATATAAGGTATATGGGTAGAGCGGATTGGGGGTCGGGCCCATGGTATAGGGGTAGATGCCTATAAATACATTGGTATCTCTAGGTGGAGTATCACCATCACAATTGTTTATGTTTTTCATGTATTTCAATCAAAGGATACACCCATTTATACAAGAGTTTACACGCTAACTAAGGTAAGTATCGAAATACATCTCTAAGAATATACTCTGAATCCCTAAGATTATGCTAAATATAATCCTACCATATAATGTCTAACAAAAATTAATAGAAGAATAGCTTCGCTCCCGTGGACGTAGGCACACTGCCGAACCACATAAATCTTGTCTTCTTACTTTCTGTCATTATTATTGCTTCTTGTTCTTGTTAATCTCAACATTAAACATCCTTATTGACATCAGTTTATAATGTAAAGCTACAATCATGAATACCTTATGCATTCAGGATATATATACCGTCCATTATATTAGTGGCAACCATTTTTATGACCTCAATCTTTGAGAAAAGCACTACACCACAAAAAGAATGCTGCAATATCATTGTAGCTAGTTCAAGTCCGAAAACGAGATGGGAAAATTAGGTAAAATATAGTCAGCATAAGGAATGGATAATTACTTGAATCCATTTATAATTCTTTGGAGACGATGTTTTTCAGTTTGTTGAGGCAGTCCCCGCTGCTTTCCCTTTACTATGACCTGCTATACGTAGTTACAAAAAAAAATAAAAAAAATAGAACACTTCTGATTGTGGAATGCAAGAAAAAATACTCCATAGCATTTAATGCCCAAAATATCTAATGAGAAAAGTACTTCATGAAAATACATTTAATGATTTCTGAATATTCATAATGGCATCTGATTTAAGGGTTGTCGAACTTTTATCATAGCATCTAATGCTTCAACTTCCAATAATAAATCCAATCAGTGTATAAACTTAGTAACAGAACAATGATTTCTCTCTTCACATCTATATGTAATCTGAGAAAAAAACCAAAATATTCACTGAAAATTTTACTCCGTAAAATTACACAACAGAGAAACAACAAAGAAATTCTACCCACAATTTTCTTTCGACTCTAAGCAAATATAGTACCATTCAAAACCAAATTCTCAGAATCAATCCGGGTAAATTAGTAAACAATTTAAGCCTTCAAATAGGAACATAAGGATTAGGTTTATCTACCTCATATTTACCTACTGATCCTCTACCATCTGTGGCCTAACACCAAGCAAACTAATCACCAAAAAAGGCAGAATAACTCTGTAATTCCACCGAAATTATAGCTAAACCAAGTTTATATGACGTAGAATAGACAGGAAATCTGAACTGAATTGAACAAAGAATACCCAAATCAAGAACAAATTCATGAACTGATCCACAAAGAATGATTGCTCCTAATAACACTTGAGGCATATGCAAAGAATATACTCTTCAAGAATTGACCTTTCAATCATTGCACTCAACTTATAATAAAAGTAAAGGTGCATAATCAATCGAAATTCGGGTAACAGAAACTAGAAGAGGGTTTATCAAGATCAACAATTATAAGACTCCAAATACATATATCATAAATTTTTTTTCTTGTTTGCAGAAATTGAAGTTTATTGGGGATGCTTACTTGCGTACGTGGGAAGACAACTGGGAGAAATTGTTTGTGACTTTGAGCTTCAGATCATCATATAATTCTGGTAATGGAGTCTTGAAGGGGGGATATGACTCTTCTGACTCTTCTTTTGTAGTTTCCTTTGTTTTATTTATTTATATAGGTTGTTCGAAAATTTATTATATATATATATATATATATATGTATATATATAAGAGATCATGTGCGAGGAAGGTTTTAGATAAAAAAAAAAAGGTTAAATTTATATCTAGTCAAAATTAACGATCAAGAATGAAGAAGAATTAAAAAAAAAAGTCGGGACATTAGTGTAATTTTGTGTAAGTAAGTTTAGATTTTTATTGTCTTCGAGGGCATATGTTTTGTCTCAGTGCATAATTCATTTTTCCATTTTGAGTGTATAATTTTGACATTTGTGTACATATCTTGTGTCTTCAAGTGCACATTTTTGTACCTTCAAATACATAATTATGGGCTAATTTTTATTTATTTTTCTCTTTTGCCTTCTTTTGCAATAACGTATAACTAAGTTTTTAATGAAATTGGTGAGATTTACAAACGATTTGTAAAGGTAATTACTTCACTAACAATTAAGTTGAATAACTCTCCCTTTTGGTACCATAATTGCTTAGATTGCACATCTTTGTGCCTCCGAGTGCAAAATTTTGTCATTTGAGTGCAAGTGCACATTTTTATGCCTTCAAGTGCATAATTATGGACCAGTATTTATTTTATCTTTTGCTTTCTTCTCAACAATGTATATATAGCTAAATTTCTAATGAAATTTGTGAGATTTACAAATTATTTTTATGGGTAATTGTTTCAATAACACTTAAATTGAATAACTCACCTTTTTGGTACCATATTTGCTTCAGTTGCACATCTTTGTGCTTTTGAGTGTAAAATTTTGACCTAAGAGTGGACAATTTTGTGCCTAAGAGTGGACAATTTTGTGCCCTCAAATGAACATTTTTTGTTAATTCGTAGTGTAGATTTTTAAAGAGTAGTAGATCTAGACGGAATTAATAGCTGAGATTTGTGTGCATTTGTCACCGGAAAATGACTTACTTCCAATAAAAATTATTGAAAATGTCACCGCAAAGACAAATTTTTGTTAAAAATTTGATACATGTAAATTAATTAGGCAAAATTTGAAAGTTAGAAATTTACATTGTTAGTATTAAAATACTTGGTGGGACTAAAAATGCAAAATACTCTACATTACGTAGATGATAGGAGTTCCGTTGATCTGAAATTAAAGCTGTAGGTAGTCGTGAATTAATATCGAGGTGACATGAATTTTGGCTTGTATGGAATATATTAGCTAGATGCTGTAAAGTAGGTAGCTCAATCATGTCATTGATTTTTTAATATTTAATTATTATGTAGACTTTTTATTACGGAGTAATTCCTAACAAAATTAACTTATGAGTTATTCGGAAAATAAAATAAGATAATTATAAATAGTTTCAAGTTAAAAGGTTATTTAACATTTTCCTACCAATTAAATTGTTTAAAAAGTGTCAATAATATTGTAGTCTAGTGACATGAAGTGATTCTTCCAAATGAGAGGTTATGAGTTTGATCCCAATGGAGGTGGTATTGATTTTTTCTGAACATATACTACATCGTAACAGTCTAACAGAGTCAATAGTACTAAAAAAAAAAATGATGTGTTCGTTGAGAACAATTATGCTAAAAATTTAGTTAATGGAGTGTTTGTATAATGATTATCAAGTATTTTTAAATTGGTTTGACCAATTTTAACTGTTTGACTTGAGAACAATTATGCTAAAAATTTAGTTAATGGAGTGTTTGTATAATGATTATCAACTACTTTTTAAATTAATTTGATCAATTTTAACTGTTTGGCTAGGTTAATAAGTTAAAACTGGTATTTTGTAAATGACTAATTGCCTTAGCTGATTGGCACCAATGCACCATCAACTAAAATTTGAAACACTACTCCAAACAATGTTCTTTTAATCAGTTTATTATATTTAAATTTGTAAAAGACTAATATAACCCTTATCTTTAACGACCGTTTGGTTTGCAGCAAATATTTGAAAAAGAATGAAATTGAAATTCTATGAAAAAGAAATAAACAAGAAGATTGAATCCATTGTTTGATTCATATATATACAACTACTCCCCCTGTCCCTATGGCATCTCTGTCACTGTTCACAGGTTCACATCCAAGTAGTGGTTCTTACTTGAACCGTACCCTATTAAGGCACTGGTTTAGTATTTAGTTACTTTAATTATTATCTAATTGTTTATGGTTGCTTTAGAGTAGGTCTTATTCTTGTTGTAAATACATGCCATTTCTTCTGTGATCTTCTCCTCTGATGTACTATTTGTGCTCAAAGCTCAATAATAATCATCCATTCATTTATACTTTACATGGTATCAAGAGCCTAAATACTCCAACGAGATTTTTTCCCCTTCCGTCGTGACCATCACCACAAAAACTGTCCGCATGGGGACCAAACCCCTGCTCACAATCATAAATTCAAATTTCAAGGAGCTTGACAATGCAAGCCGATTTCTCTAAAGTGGCGAAAGTTAACTGGAATTCCGATACCACTGTGTGGGATAATTATGAGCACATGGCTACTAAATTGTTTGGAATGAAATAAGAACATTTTTAGTAATATCCACAAACAAAAGCGTAGGCTGCTAGCCCGATTGGAGGAGATCTAGGAAGTTTTTGATAGAAACAATTTCAATGCTCTAATTAATCTGGAATGAAAAAATCAAAAAAACTACTCAAGGATACCCTCCAACAAGAAGAGATCATATGGTACCAACAATCCAGAGAGGATTGGATTGCTTCGGGGGACAGAAATACTAGTTTTTACCATGCTGCTACGATGATCAAGAAAGCCAAGAAAACTCTGTTCGAAATTCAGGACGAGGATGGCAACCCTATTATTGATGAAGGAAGAACTAACGATGTTGTTTGAGATTTTTTCCAAACTATACAAAAAACTGCCTCACTACCACCGGTAGCATCCTGGGATGAAGATTTGTCACTATTGATACGGCTAAATGGAGTAGTTTTAATGCTAAAATGACAAAGGAAGAGATTAAACAAGTTCTATTTGATATGACGCCTCTTAAAGTGCCTGGTCCCGATGGGTTCCATGCTTGTTTACCAAAAAGCGTGTGAGGTGGTAGGCGACTCGGTGATAAAGCAAGTTCAGAGTTTCTTAGATAATAGCATTATGATCCCTGGTTTGAATGATACGCTTGTCACCCTTATTCCTAAGGTCACTCGACCGGATAGGGTGAACCAATTCAGACCCATTGACCTTTACAATGTGATATATAAAATTATCACTAAAGCTATGAGTAACAAGATCAAACCAATCCTTCGTGAGGTAATCGGCCTTGAACAGAGTAGCTTTATCCCTGAGCAGCAAATTACGGATAATATCCTCATCTATCAAGATGTGCTCCATTCTATGAGAACGAAACATGGAGAGAAGAATTATATGGTTTTAAAAATTAGTCTGGAAAAGGCATATGCGATTGGATTGGGATTTCATCCTTGAAACCCTTCAGGAGGTGGGTTTGAATAAGGATTAGGTCAAGAACATCATGACTTGTGTTAAGACCCCGAGGCTGTGTATCATCTGGAATGGGAAGCAATTGGACTAGATCAAACCTACTAGATGCATTAGACATAGAGATGCGATTTCCCCATACCTTTTCGTGTTATGCACGGAATGGCTCAGTCACCTAATCAAGGATGAGGTTGAAAAAGGAAGATGGAAAGAGATAGGATTATCCAGGTATGTCCCTCTTCTCTCTCTCTACGATATGGTGTTATTCTTAGAAGCCTCGCAGGAAAATGTTATTGTTATAAAGCAATGTCTTGAGAGATTTAGCATGGCATCAGGAGAAAAAGTCCGTTTGAGCAAGTCCCACATGTCTTTTTCTCTAAAAATGTGAATGCTGAAGTGGCCAAAAGAATATCAGACCTAGCAAGAATTCCTCAGACTAAAAGTATTGGCAAATATTTAGAAGTGCGATCAATCCATAGGCGAACCACCAACAACCTCTTTGCTCCCATTCTAGAACGTATGGATTCCAAGCATGAGGGTTTGAAATCAAGGTTATTCACTCTTACTGGGCCCCAAGTCTTTGCGCAAGCAATTTTGAGCTCCATACCATGCTATAGTATGCAGACCATGCTTTTACCTAACAGGATTTGTGAAGCTATTGACCGTAAAATTATAGCATTCCTGTAGGGAAGTACCGTTGAGAAGCGCAAATGCCATATGGTTAGCTGGAGTCAAGTGACCACGCCAAAGAATTGTGGGGGTTTGGGCATCCGGTCAGCCAAAGAAACCAACTTAGCATTCTTGTCAAATGAAACTATAGTAGAATTAAAATGATACTTTAGTACAGTGTTACTATAATGAAACTAGTGTACGTAGAAAATGAAACTAAAAAGCATAGCAATATTGTCAAATGAAAATGAAGTGTAATTAAAATGATACGCCGTCGTTTTGCTTTATGGTCTTTGCTACTACATAGACCATGTTCCATAGTGTTATAGAATATTCTGTGAGATTAAGTATCCTACATATTAGGAAACTTAAGATTAAGGTTTCTGGTTTATGGAAACTGATTACCATATCAGTTGCTCCCTAGCTTGTATTTAGTGGGTGGTGGACTAACCCTAAGGAGGGTGAGACAGAGAGTTCTTCACAAAGGTATTATTCTCTTAGTCTATTAACATGGTATCAGAGCATTGCAATAGTTTTTTTTTTTCCACAACCTGTTTCTTGATCAATCGCATGTTCTCTATGGTTTTGGGTGGGAAAACACCTTTCCATACTCTGTATCCTTTAAAGCCTTTGTTCCATATTGACCCGCGTATATTTGGCTGCGTATGCTTTGTTCGGGATGTCCGTCCCCATGTCACCAAGTTAGATCCCAAGTCTTTGAAGTGTGTATTTCTTGGTTATTCTCGTGTGCAAAAGGGGTATAGGTGTTACTCTCCTGCGCTTGGTAGGTACCTTGTTTCCATTGATGTTACCTTTCATGAGGATGCCCCTTTCTTTCCTTCATCTCCAGATGCTATTCGTTAGGGGGAGGAGGATGATATCTTGATGTATACGGTCATGTC